GCATCTTGTTCATTTTAACACCAAAAAAATACTGTTCTCTACTGGATAAATGGGTTCCCCGGAGTATGCTTTCTTAATTAAATGTGAAGGCAATTAAAATCAAGATTTCTGTGAAGTTGTAAAATATCGCAACAAATTAATTTCAAATAGAAAGCAGAGACAAAGGAATTACAATGATAAGAACAAATTCATGTATAATCTCTGAACAGATGGGGCCTGCCGAGAATCTACCACTATATAGATGGACACCTAGACTGCCTGTAACAGAGGTGGGCATCATTTTCTCTACTTTTTCCTCTTTTCTCCTTTTCATTCCCACAACTGCTCTTCAATTTAATACAATGACTGAAGTGTATTCGTCTTACAGAAAAATTATAGCAAAATCAAGGAAAAAACTTTTTTCTTTGAAAAAATCTTAATGTGATAAGAATACCTGACATGAAATCTACCCTCTTAACAAATTTTAAATGTACATTACTGTTGACTACAGGTTCAATGTTGTACACAGATCTCTAGAGTTTATTCATCTTACTTTATGCCTATTCATTAGGCATATTTCCCAATTTCCCTATCCCCCCCACCCTGGTAACTACAATTCCAGTGTTTGATTTCATAAATTTGACTATTTTAGATACCTTATATAAGTGGAATCACACGGTACCTGTCTGTGTCTGACATTTTACTTAGAATACTGTCTTAAGGCCAATGAAAAAAACTTTAAAGGAGAACTTTCTTTTTATGTAATACTTCACAAAATATTTAAATGGCCAATGTTCCAATGTGTTCTCTCTATAAAGGAAGAATGTTGACTCCTTGGTCTGTATATGTTAGTATAGATCTCATAAATATTTTTAAATTTTACTCTAAAACAGTAAACCTGAAGCTAATAAAGATAGCTAGAGCTGAAATATTGGTTTAATTAACATTAAAAGAGTGGTAAAAATCACTTTAATTTAAAAAAGATGATGAATTCGACACATATTGATAGGAGAGGTGGAAAATATAGTACTGAAATGTCAGGGAAGATCTATTCTTAAGAGCAGTGTATATCATAAAGAATACCCAGTTATTCACTAGAATCTCTTAAACTCAGGTTACATAATCCTTTTTTCCTTTAATTACATGAGACAACAAGCTTGATCTTGATATTTGATTGTAAACAGTGGATGCACTCATGTTCATTTACATAAATTTTAAGTAAAATATTAAAATTTTCTGTTTTCTGAAGCAATAATATAAAAAATTGTTCAACACTTTTTAGTGGAATTTGATCTATTAATTACATTCTTCCTTATTTTAAGATCATTGACTCTGCCTTTTAATAAACAATCAAAGTATGCAAAATGAATTATTTTACACTTTCATGGGGAGCAAGAATTAGAAACAAGGAACCTAAGATTTCAAGAGCCCCACAACTTTAGATCACTATTACTGAAGATATCTGGGCTTTATCGGTATATTGATCATTCATCTATATAGCTAGCATCCGTGGCTAATTTTCCATATCTGGAGTGCAGAAAAAATACTGGACAGACAGACTACTCAGGCTGTAACCCTGGTTCTGTCATTAATTTGAGGTCCCATAAGATTTCTATTTTCTCATCTGCAAAATGAAAATGTGGAACAGGTGATCTCTGAGTTCTCTTTCACTCCAACCGTCCCACAGTCCATAATGCTTAATTCTGAACATGACCTTCCACTGCTTGAAAATGGGCAAGAACTCCCATGGTCCCAACGTGGATTTCCCAAAATAGGTGCTTCCCATTTCTGAGTATGTTTCACTCTGTGAAGTCTGCTTGCAACAGACTCCTTATCTTTACCTGTTGAAATCTCATTCTTAAAGGTCGAGCTTAAAGGCCAGTGTTTCCTTGAAGTCTTCCTAATCCCTAAACCTGAAACTGACTATTCTTTCCCATGAACATCCAAATAATTTCATTACACATTTGTAGATGTCTGTCTGTCTGTCTATCTATCATCTATCTATCCATCCATCCATCCAACCTCTTACTAACTACTTATAGATATACTTCATCTCTTCTATTAAACTGTAAACTCCTCAAGGGAAGAAAAGTCTTATTTGTCTGACAGTCACTCCTGTTCGCCATACCAGTGCAGTCCCTAGTTTTAACAGTGCCCCTCCCCTCCCACCGCCGCCAATCTGCCCGGTCTAAGAGGGTGTCCGCACTACTCCTGGATGGCTTTGACATCTACCTTTTTTAGCTAGGTCCCAGGCCTAGACCTCACCACTTCCAGGACCCAAGAAGTTAACACGACCATAGGGTACAACCATAATTTGGGCAGTTTTGAAGATCTATTTGTTGCTGCTAATCACAGGCATCATTAGGGCAATCAAGGGGACGTGGTTAGGATGACCACAACTAATTATTTAAATAGGGACACTGTTAAGAGTTAGAGGGAGAATTATTAATAATCATGCTGGGACAACAGGTGCATAGGCAGAGTCTGTCCCAGGAAAACTGGCATGTGTAGCCCCTTGTGCACGGGCATTCTTTTCTAGTCTCCATATAGGCTTCCGTACTCCCATTTCCATCATTAATTCCTTCTCTGCATTCCCTTTTCTCACAAAGACACCGGCATACTTCTGATATACTAATTTATTAATAAGGGTTTAGATACTGAAAAGTCATTATGATTCTGATGGCATAAGTACTATGCACGCTAAGGAGACACCACATCCTGTCCTCACTGGAGGGCAAGCTTCAGCAGTGTAGACTGGCAGTGACACAGGAGTTCTGAGGGGTTTTCCTAAACTACTTTTACTTCTCATTTGGAGTCTTCAAATTATAAATGAGAAGTCAACATAACCTTATTTCTAAGGTTAATTCTGGGTTAAATTCAATATAACATTATACGAATTAAGAGCTATATTTAAAGTTACAGGCTGTGCAACACTGTAGTATATTTCCTATCAATATTTAACTTATTTCTTTAGCTAGCTTTAATAAATTGTCACAAGGTGTGAAACCATTAAGTCACTCAAAAAAGGACTATAAAATATCACAAGAATTATAATATTGCTGTAGCAAAATTACAATTTTTAAAACTCAAATTATAATACTTTGAATTGATTTTAAATATTTTATAGCTTATTTTATCAGATGGAATTAAAAACAGAACAAATCAATAAAACTAGGGTATAATGCAGCAAAACTATTTCAATTAAACGTTATGTAAGGGTAATTTCACAATTTAAAACCTTTAAATAAGCTAATACATTCTGCCTTATCATTTCTACAACCAGACACATCATTAAAGGTATATGCAAAATAAGAGTTCTATAACCAGTGTTATCATCTACCAGCACAAGAAGAGGAAGATTTCACTCCTTAGCTGCCTCCGTTACCTTCCAGTAGACTGGATGCTCTCTGAGGACAGGTGCCGGGCACGGTGCTTCCCCCAGTGTTTATCACATACACTTGCTCCTGGCCTTCCTTTTGCCACTCTCTGTCGCCTGCCTGCAGTGTCAGTCCTTTATGTCTCTTATACAACCATGAACTCTACGCTGGAATAGCACGAATAAAAAGCATCTGCTACAATGTGTGGCTCACTACATTAGAACCTATGAAAAAGATCAAATACCACTTTTTTAAAATAATGAACTGATAAGCATTTAAAATATTCCATTCTTCAGATTTGTACTTCCAAGAAGGGAAGAAAGTCAAGAACGAAAGTTCTTCAGAAATTTTGTTTTTGGAAATTGCACCCCATAGTCAAGTCAATTTGTGATACAAGGCATACTGTATTCGTCACCTTCTTGGGAACTCACTGAGCCAGCAAATAAAAGGCCATGAGAAGCCCTGCAATAAAGACATCTGATTTATTGTTCAAACCAGTATTTCCCCAAATTATTTCACCATGGAACCCTTTCTCCCATGTGACATGTATAACACCCTAAGAAACCTAGGTTCCTCAGAACACGCTGTGGGAAATGATGACCTAATGTGTTTTTTTCCCCCCTTGAATTGTATAAATTCCTCTGAATTGCACTTTTCAGATCAATTTTAAAAAGTTAAATATAATTTTGTTAAAGTATATGATGCCAATCTTGTTTTGTTTTTGATCATGGCAGGCTACATCAGAAGTAGCCTAGTGTTTTACGGTCTTAGCTCATGCTTTTAGCATGGAAGAGGGGGTAAGTGAGGGTCTTAACCGTGAACACCCTGAACGGTAAAAGTTGACAGCCTAGCCCATCTGGGAGGGGCGTGTCCCACACCATCCCTAACCCTGACAGGCTGGAGAGCAGCTGTCAGCACTCATGAGTTCTGACAGCTTCAATGACACTGTGAGCTTAAAATGAGTGTTGTTCACCCACTAAATTCTCCCTTAGAATTATAAGTCCAAAAGTACAATAAGAGCAGGATTTGATTAAGAAAATGTAAGATACATCCTAAGTGCAAATGCAAATTTGTAATATTCTAGCTGTCCTGAGGATACCTCATTAATGTTAAGCTGATTACAAATTACAGGTGTCGCAGAGGACCTGCTGTTAAGAAGGAAACCATTGCAGTATAGAGTTATGTCATGCAAGCATATGCGCCTTATGGTACTTAAAATTTATTTAAAAAAATTTAAATGTCTCACCTTTAGCAGTTTAAAAAGTAAAAACAAAATAGAAATGACTGAATCAAAGGCTGGTTGCAGGGGAAGATTAAAAGAAAACAAAACTCTTTACTGTATATATGTGGAAAATAGTGTATTCTTTAGAAATCAATTCAGATACAGTTCCTGAAAAGCAAACTACTATTTAATCCAACTGTGGCAAGTGTCTCTGAACCCTGCTTTCTAAAACAACAACAAAACACTAAACTCTTTCAAATACAGCAAAGTCAGGGGAATTTTTCCAACACAGATAAATGAAGCATGAAACAGGAAAGGAAAGCACACTCTAGCAAGAGCTCTTAATTACGTCTGGTGTATTATCTTAACATACCTCCCTTACTCAGGTTACATCAAAGTACCAAAGACGACTCACGACTCACCGTATCATAAGTTGTTACAATCTTCTTTAGAACCTCAGGCACGATTCCCTGCAGCTCCATCGTGGGATACTGCTCGCTGAGATTCAGGACCACCAGTGGGGTGTTATCAGGCCCCAGAAAGCGGGGGGACACCGCCAGCATGCACTGCATGAGATTGGCCACAGAGGAGAGGCCACACAGCTCCTTGAATGACGCCACTGCGTTCTGTTAAATGGGAAGAAAGGAGGCACTCTGTGATTAACCAGGGGTTTTAATTTCTCGTGGATTTTGTATTTGATATATTTGATTATACTCGAACTGCCTAGTATAAGTTATTAGCAATGTTATGATAGAATTGGCTAACCATTACTTTATCCAGCGATAAAATGACTATTTTCCAAAGTAAATATAGTTACAGATATTTGTAATACCGATTTATCAAAAGCACAGAAAATGTAAACAAGTTAAATTCTTCCCAAGGGCAAAGCTTGTTTTCAGATCAAAGTTCATAGCAGTGCTAATGCTGATGTGCAATTATGAGCAAACAAAAAGAATGGCTTCAGCATTCGAAAAAGGTAAAGATTAAGAAAAAAAAGGTCAAATCAGGTTTAAAATTAGTATCGAGAATGCCAGCCATCCAAAGAGGAAAGGAATATTTGTGAGGCAGGAAGTTGACTCTGTCTCACCTGTTTATGCCTGTTGGTTCCAAACCCTAAAGTAACTTTGAGGGTTCTGCAGTTCACTGGTGAGGTCTGCCCAGCGGGAGTTCTTGGTTACCCACGGCTGTCCCCTATTAGTGTTGCCACTGATCTAAGTGCTTCTCCCAGTAATTTTTTTTTTCTGATCATAAGATGGTATGCAATTAAAATATCCATTAAAGAAAACCCCCTTCGACACTGCACAATGCCATGAGTTGGCATTATCTAAGTCATTACCAAGTGCTAAGCTGTAGAAGGCCTATTTATTACGCATTTAATCCTCTCAACAAGCCATGCTGTAGGTGAGGAAACTGAACCTCAGCTATAGCCTCTCTCTGTTATTTGTCTTAAGGTCACAGAGCTGGTAATTGAAGGAGTCAAGATTTTACCTGAAATCTGTTGAAGTTGAGGCGTATGCTTTTAATCAGTATTACTAACGGGTAAATTCTAAACAAAGCATGAGTCAGGCATTTTATTCTGGGCACACTTGGGTCCTGACCTGGGCTGAGCATGGCAGCCACAGGTGGGTATCTAGGCCCTCCAAGTCCGTGCCTTCTGCTTTTAAAAATCCTGGTTCTTGGAAATGAGCAGCAGTTTAGTTTCCAATTTAAACATTTTCTTTTCATTAATATTGCTTTAAATATGGACATCAAACTATATGTCATTTGGCTCAAAAGCACTTCATTGTTGACTGCTTACAACAATAAATTACTGTCCTTTCTAGAGTGGGGTCTCCCAATCACTGTCACACCTTCCTATTTCATTTTCTTCACAGCACTGGCTTGTCTGCAGTTGTCTTGTTTATTTATTCACCTGTTTACGGTCTGCTTCCGCTCCCCAATGTCCATCCCCAACCAAAGTCATCTGTTTGTTCACTGCTGCATCCTCATGGCCTAGGCCGCCTGTGCATGGAGTTTATTAAACATCACCACCAACTGCTCTGTTGAGTTCAGCGTAGACACGTGGCTCTAGAAAGATGATGCTCAAGCTCTGGCAGATCAAGAGAATTCTCTGTCACAGGCACAAGAGCAGCCATGGAACAGGGGACAATGTGGCCTGTTCACAGCTGAGGATTTACGAAACCATTTTCACCCTCAGAAATAGGGAAAAGCCCTTTACATTTATGATATGCTTTTATTTTGAAAGAATAAAATTTCTCTATTTTGGGAAAGTCTTTTTATTAATAAGGTGTCCAATCAGTAGAGGAGCGAAATATGTTGAATGTTCTGAGTCAGATTTTACTTGCTGGTAGCATTCTTCTCATAATTGTTTTTATACACACACACACAATCAGCTAATATATACATATACTTAATAAATACATGCTGAGCAGCTGTCCTGCACATGGCACTTCTCACACTGGGACAGGTTAGGGTCACTATTGCTGTGAGGTGGGCCTTTGCTGCCCACTTCCCTATCACTCATGGGCCCTCGTATACTGTTAGACATGTGGACGATCCTTAATTATATACATAATTCCTAACTGATTGCTTTCGGCCATTGAACAGTTCAGAGCTAATTATTGTCTTAGACTTCTAACAGATATGCACACGTCTTTTACTTAATTAAACAGATGTCCTATAAAATCAAGAGGAAGCTCAAAACACAAACACATTGGTTCACTCAAGTGCTTCCTATTTTCCCAGCACAACAGCTTCATAAGAAAGGACTGGAACATGTCCCTGTTATTTTGATAGGCCATCAATTTGTGTTCCAGCTAAAGAATAGGCGAAAAAAAAAAAGCAAAAAACAAAAAAACAAAAAAACAGAGATTCTCACGTATACTACCAGAAAAAAAAGGGCAACCGTGAAGCATTGATTAACAGGGACTAGGATGTGTTGTGTGTGAGACAGCAACACGACTGGCTTATTCTAATACATTATCAATATTTTCGATGCCAGCTGTGTTTTTGGATATTTAAATGATAAAAAAATGAGACTAGTGGTAAACATTCTAATAACCAATTGAAATTTGTAAATAATTTAAAAAAATCAAATACACTGCTGTAAAAAAGAACCCCTCCAATATATTCATCAATTATACATCTGCGCTAAGAAGGTAAACACTTAAACACAAGAACGTACCTGCATGTTCTCTCTCAGATCTGTGGCATCTCGTATGGGGGGCTGGGCGTTCTTGAACACTTCATCTACAGTTTTAATCCACAATGTTCTCAAAGATGCATATTCCCTGGATTTCTTCCCTTTTCTCACAGAAAGGCCCCTTTTATGAGGTTTCCCTCCTCCTCTTCGGTTAGTAATAGCCACATGGACAAACAAAGAGGCATGTGCTAGGACCTCTCCAGTCAATGACTGCAGGGGGACGTGGCGGTAGCCTGTCTGTAAACATTCAAAGGGAATCGTGTACTGACCAATAAATTCATCCCCAATGTAGTCATCATCTAGTACTACAAAGCGCACCATGGCCAGTTCCGGTAGGTTGATCTGAAATTCAAAGCTTTCATCAAAAATGGGAGCATCTCCATTCTGGTTCACAGTTTTTGTCCTTTGTTCTGCACAGTCGGCGGGGATCCCATGAATTTCCACATAGACATAAGGATCCACCACGTCACCTTTGGCACCTGATCCTTTGGGTTTGGGAAAGTTCTGCCCACTGATGATTTTGATGTGAAGAAGCTGAGGTGAGACTCCTGGGACGGAGTCTTTCGTATTGGCGCTGAAGAAGGAGACTTCTTCCCTCATGATGGCTGGCCGAAGGACATAGCCACAGTTTCCATTCTGCCTAAACCAGCCAATGTTCAGGTCCATCATCAGTCCCGGCGTCTGAAAGTTCATGGCTACAATCTGACAACCACATTTCCAAAAATCTTGAGGGTTCATGTTACTGGAGTCAATCCTCATTGGGCTGGGAAAAACCCTAGCAAGAAAACGTTTGTTGTAATTTACAAAGTCCCCTGGATTTTCATTGGCATATTTGCTGGCAAGCACTTCATTAAATGAACAGACTTCCCAGTACTTCTGAACCTGAAAGGACACCTGAAACTCTTTGAACTGAACCGACTTACAGATGCTTACCAGTTCAGACAGTTCTTTGCAGAGCTGAAATCGTTTCACAGGCACATTGTTGAGTTGCTCCACGTTTTCTTTTCCCGTCCTCTGAGACATTTCTGCTCCTTCATCTTCATCAGTAACATCTCCTTCTACTCCAGAGCAATTTGAGGACAGCTTCTTTGCTTTAATTAGTATCTTCCCTTTCAGGACATCTGGGGATGGCAGATAAGATTCCTCAACGTTGGGTGATGTTGTATAGAGCTTGTCTCCTAAAATTTTCTTCATGTGTTGAACCATGACCTTCTGTTGTTTAATAGAACAGTGATTTTCTAAACACAAGATAAGTGGATACTCGGAAGCAAAGAATGCATACTGATTAATAATATCAATGACACTGCGGAAGACTATCTGAGAGGTCATGGTGTGGCCTGTGTAGATGACAGGTTCATTGTCTGGCCCATCCCATACGTCTAATTCAACACTCCGGCAGCCCATTTTTAGAGCTCGAATGTATCCTGTGATATCAGAGGGACCTCGGAACTGGTCCTCTATTAAGTATGTATTATGAGATGAGTTTATAAAGTAATGAGACAAAGGTTGCTTCATATCCTGACAGACCTTCTTATGTTCAGGATCAAATATATAACAGTCAGGTGACATTAGGTAATTAGTGAACCCGTCTATTGAGAGCCAGCCCTTTTCCTGGCCCTCTTTGGATGGCTCATATTTGTGAATAATTTCAAGGCTTATTTCCTCATTTATATGTGCCACACCCTGCTCTGCCTCAAGAAACATCATAAGGTCCTTGGTATCAAGGAATTCTTTATTGCTTGAAAACTGAACTAATAGGAAATAGATTTCAGGTCTAGTACAAAGCTCATGGAAAACCTCAACAAATTCTTCCTTTGTGACTTCGGTACCAGCTTTGTCCTTGGATTTGTGCAATTCTTTGAACTTAAGCTCAATTTTGCTAGTTTTTAAACCGGGGTTGAGGTTTCTGATACATTGCACCGCATTACACAGAGTTATATGTCCAAGGTTATCTACATCAATTTCACTAAACATTTGTGAAACCCAAGAAGTCCTCATGTTGTCTTGGCTACTCTCTAACATATCAAGTGTATGTTTTCCATAAGAAATTAGGTATCGCAGTCCTGTGACCCAGATGTTCGCAACATCTGCAGAGTTGGCAACCAAGTCAAGTGACTCATAATTCTCTCCATATATGACTGAAAACGCACAGTCTTCAGATATCTGGTCAGAAATGCCATTGCTGCGGAATATGTCTGTATTTTTCCCTGTTCTCACTTCCTTGATGGACTTAATATCAATCTTGGCTTTCTCAGAATCCTTCTTAGATGGTTCCCACCTCAGGCTCTGCATGTCGGCGTCCAGTAAAAAATACCTATGGTAAATTCTGGAGTTGGAGCGAACCTTTTTGAGTTCTGAACCCTCGACCATTGAATTAATACAATCACTTGCACTGCTGATCTTCTTCTCTGTCGGCATGCTACTGAATGACACTGTCTTTTTCCGTTCTCTTTTCTGTTTTGTACCATCCTGGGAGGAGGAAAAATAGTGTATTAGAATAATATTAATGTAGGTTTCTAGGTTTAAGACTAGAAATAAATGTTTAATTTCCTTGAGAAAAAAAATCATACAATTAGGATTTCCTATTCTATGTCCTATGATGAATAATACTCAGTCACTTCTAAAGCTTAGAAGTGGCCTTGGAGTTTCAGCCTAAGGTAAGAAAGGTAAGAATTCAGACAGGTAAGAAATCATTATTGAATAATTGCAATCCATTGGTGCCAAGAAACACAATTTCAGTAATGCCCAATAAAATCTTATACAGAGAACTGGCTACATAATTTGCAGACCTCAGGGAAAAATGAAAACGCAGGACTCCCTGTTCAAAAATTAAGAATTTCAAGAAGGTAACAGAAGAGCATTTAGCCAAGTACAGGGCCCTTCTGACTGTGGGGCCCATACAGTTGCCCAGGTTATACACTCATGAAGCAGGCCCTGTTTGTACACACATTACCTACACAAGTATTTCTCAAAGGGCTGTCACTAGATCACTTGCCTCAGAATCACCTGGGTTACCTGGTAAAGGTATAGATTCCGACCGAGGCTCATGGTATCAGATCTCTAGGAGGCAGTACCCAGGAATTTGCATTTTGGGCAACACTCTAGGCCAGCAGTCCCCAACCTTTTTTGGCAGCAGGGACCAGTGCGCCTATGAGAATCTGATGCCTGATGATCTGAGGTGGAGCTGAGGTGGTGATGCTAGTGCAGGGGAGTGGCTGCAAATACAGATGAAGCTTTGCTGGCTCAGCCACCACTCACCTCCTGCTGTGCGGCACGGTTCCTAGCTGGCCACGGATCACTACCAGTCTGCGGCCCAGGCATTGGAGACCCCTGCTCGTAGGTGATGGGGATGTACGCTAAAGTTTGAAAACCACTTCCTGACCACTTAGACTCACTAAGATGTCTGGGCTATTTCTGGAAATTCACATACCAAATGACCAAAAACAGCGAAGTATGAACCACGGTAATAAATGAATAGATACTGGAATTCAAGCAGAAATTCCTGGCCCTGCCAAAACTCATATCGGATTAGTCCTGGTTCTAAATACTTCAGATAGATATGGTTTCACTGTTGCAATTGTGTCATGTTTGGGTGGGAGGCCTAGATTACAATTACAGCTGGAGGTGCTTCTAAAATTCCAGAGTTGATTTATTAAAGCCCATTCCCATGCACCAGGCTAATGCTCAGAACAATGTCACCTAAGTACTTCCAATATTAACAGATTACTAACACTACTAAGTGAAAAATTTCAGACAGCATCGATTTCTAAAAAAAGTTTACATCACCAATAATGCAGTCCTCCACTTTCCTACATAATGTAATAGGCACCCACCTTAAGGAGCTGACACTACATCTACACGTGGAGTTAAGTCCTTTCCCTGTACAGATGGCTTCGTTATTTAAAAAATAATTGCTCAAATGATCTCGTGACATCTTTCACAATTTTAACCTGAAATATGATATTGCCTTACAGGAAGTGTATAAAATTTGTGATAAATTTTCGATAATTCATTATATTCATAAATAAGGAAAAGCTATGGAGGTTGGGATTATGTAACTTCCGTAATAATAAGGAAAAGAGCATGAAAAATGTTATACAAAGGCAATTCTAACTCTCCTGCTCTGGAAAGAATCTATTTTGAATTAAATCTCTAAAAAGCAATTTGCTATTCTCTGTCTCAAATTTAAAACCACTTTTAGTTTTTGACTACCTGCACTTCCAAAGCGATTTGCAGAAGGTAATTAAACTTAAACTTTAAATCATATAGGTATCATTTCCCTCAAAGTTTCAAAATGAATCATAAAGGCTTTTGTGATTTGAATGCCAAGATAACACATAAAAGCCACAAGGCAGAGTATTTCTTTACAACTGTATCCTCAGAACAATAAAGTGCAAACGACATAAAAACTGTGGCAATTGTATCCATAAGATATATTGCATGATAGCTGCTTCAAATCCCTAAAGTGTAGACTGTACTCTATCTATTCAAGCAAATTGGCATGAAATTTGGAACCAGCCATGCATAAGGGCCTGGAACAAATGTATAAATTTCCTATTTTTCAAAATGAAGGCTGTCTTTACCTTTAAAAGGAAACATTTATCTTTAATAAAGACAACATATTAATTAAGGAAATTTTATAAGCTTTATAAATTATATCTCAAAGGTGCCACTGGTAAAAATAAGTCACAAAGATAAATGGAGGTGCTTATCCGCCCACTCATTAAAAATATATATAGCATTTTCTCAACATTGTAATTTTTTATTGTCATTTTAAACATACTTGACTTCCACTTTCTAATTTATTACAAATGATATGTTCCAAATTCATAGGTCTCTCTATTATTAAGAAGGAAAAGCCGAATTGCAAAGCAGGTTAACAACATACAGACATGCTCATACACCCACGTGCGTAGGACAGGCGGCACCTTAAAACACCATACCTGTGACTTTAAAAACATTGCCTTGCTTTGTGCAAGCCAGCCCAGGCAATGATCGGTGACTTCAGATCACTGCCTGCAGACACGTAAATATGACCGTCACCCAAGCACAGGCTGCTGTAATGAGAGCGGGGACTCCTCTTACCAGACACTTCCTATCTCTTTTCCTCCATCTACTGTTGCCTAGAACCATCCTGTCCTCTCCACAGCACGCTGAGGCCTCAATGAAAAGGTTTGTTTCTCCTTCCTGGCGAGCAGATAAAGCTATTAGGAAACATTGATAGAGTGTGCTTGCCTAGAACCAAAAAGGAGAACTCGTCACTGAGTGGACCAGAATCACTGGGCTGGTGATAGAGTGTGCTTGCCTAGAACCAAAAAGGAGAACCAGAATCACTGGGCTGGAAGCAACAGATGGATGTGAAGGCAAGTTGGTCCCCCAGAACCAAGAGGAGAGGAAGGGGAGGTCGGAAGCACTCGTGTGGGAGGGAAGGAGAACTGAGGTTCAACAGCAGGCGATCTAGGCCCCCAACTTGCCTGACTCCCAAAATCTTTAATCCCACTCTTACTCATTTCTACCTGGCTTTCACTTTTTAGCCCAGCAGTGATCAAGTACTTGCTAAGCAGCTGTTAAGAACCAAAGCTGGAATCTACTTTATATGTGGTCTCTTAATGTTAGTTAAAAATATAACAATGAAAAGTGATTCAACTCTATGTGCTATCCATGCAGTTTTTTTTTTAACTAAAAGAAAATTAAATGCATACGACTTATATGCATTAACCATCTAAAACCAGAGGAAAAAAACACAAGTTTCTGCTGAGACAGACGTACCTCAAAATATTTATAAAAATAGTTTCGGAGCTGGCACTTATATTCTAAGTACTTCTCACCTAAAGCTTCCCAATTGTGAAAACAACAACGTATAAACTTGGTCCACAGGTGCATTTCTGCTACTTACTAACATCAAGAGAAGGAACACAAAACAAAGGTTGTCTGGAGGAAAACCAGCTTCCAAAAGAACCCATCTCTTTACCAACCCTGAAATTTTAAATTCTAAATAAATGATCATAAACTTTTGAACTAGAAAGAAGCTTAAAGATGCATTTATACATTTAACCAACATTTATTTACAGAATAACGATTTTGTACCAGGAGCGATTTTAAGAAAGTAATGAACTAGCAAGAGGCTAAGCAAACTCAGCACAGCAAATTCAACAAAAAATAAAAACATTTATAGAACTTTTGTTTAACATTAAAATGGAAGCCTTATTAAGCTCTGTGGAGAAACATACATATTTCTAACAAGACTGCCTACTTTGTTTAATAGAAGTTTGTCACTATCTTTTGGCCACTAAAACTACTTTGTTTAATAGAAGTTCGTCACTATCTTTTGGCCACTAAAACTACCATCTGGGATATTTAAGAGATAATAGCAATTTCATAAATAGGTGTGGGCAATTTCATAAATTCTCTTCCTGAAGTGAGATAACAAATAAGTAGGCCCCGTTTCTTCTGCAAAAAAAGTATTTAGCACCGATCCGATTGATCTTGCGCATTCTGGAGACGAGGAAACCTATCTGCGGCGGCGGAGCACTGTTTCAGGGCGCAGGCAGTTGATGTCCTGCTGGATGAGAATCACTTCCTGTGTCCTACTGCACTGCTCTTGTATTTTAAAACTGATTTGTTTCCATTTTCTGTGTTATTATTTCTCAATAAACATCATGAAAAAATGATGAGTCAATACCCAGTTTCAATACACTGGCAAAAACGGTCAAAAAGTCTAGGCAGCGTTTCTGGTGTGGGAGGACATAACAGAATGGGGAAGGGGATGTAGTATGAAAATAAAGAAGTTATTTATCCTTCTGGTTTGTCTGGAGTCCAGTTATTTACTTTGATTTATAAATAGCATCAAAGAAGGGTATGAGATATTTATGTTGATTGAAGGGGATGTAGGATTAAAGAAAGTTGAGAAACACTGGGTCAAAAAAATTTCTATTCTTAACAAAACAAAACAAAACCTCCCAGAAAGGACTGGAGGCCCATTACAGGAGCACAGCAAGGCCTGACCTTCCTTCAGCAATAACAATAATTCTGAATTGAAAGAATAAGTCAAGCAGGGAACATCAGGGTTACTTTGCAAAGTTTTCCACACATCTTTAAAACTTTGATGTACTAAAATGAGCAAAAAGGGGAGAAATGGGGGGAGGGAATTTGGAGGAAAAACATGGTTCCTTTGAAGGTCATTTTATAATATCAGATAAATTGAAAAAGAATAAAATAACCTGAAGAAAAGCTAAGTATGGTCCAATGTTGTTTTCCAGTCATGTGGAAGGCCCTTTACTGCAAATAACAGAAAGCTACTTGGCCCATGGATACTCCTCTTCATGGGCCTCCTCTTCCATGATGCCCTCCACTGGATTCTGAAAGCTAACCCGGCCCAAGTTTGGCAAGTAGTCTATGGGATGCAGGTCTGCTAACGGCTTGGAAACCTTTGGGTAACTTGAAAGTCACAAATCGGGGACAAGTACAGT